CTCCTGAGATTCCAGAAGCTCTGCTAGAGGAAGTCGCTCTTTCTTCGACGACTCTGGGCCCAGCTTGGGGCTGCGACCGCCCTCGCCTGCAATTCGACTGCATGCCGTGTCAGAGTCTCTTCGAAGTCTGACCTGTTACACACCATGCCCCCACCTGCAGGAACCACTTTCGGAGGTGTGCAAGCATCTGGAGTCTCCGCTACGCCCATGCGGCCTTCACACTGGCGGGTTCTGTCTGCTCCAAGCAGACCTTCCGAGGCAGCTGCCTTTTTCTCGCACCGGCGTCTTCTGCGGACTGAAAGAAGGTCGCAAGTCGGCATCGCCGTGGGCATGGTTGCATCGATCGCCCTGCTGATTGTCGCACAGTGGACACAAATGTGAGTGCTCCATGGATGCAGAAAATAGCCTAACTAATCGAAACAAGATGCTTTTTTGCAATGGCCACGCTCGTAGAAATTGCACATCTGAGTCTTGTAGATCCCTGAAGTCACTCGGAGGTCCGAATCTCCATGGGCAAACCTTGGGGCCAGCGCCAGAAGTCGCCAAAGAGATTTCTCTAGCTTGCGTCAAGGGCCGGACGAACAGTTCTCCCCATGTACGCACTTGCCCTGCAGAAACGACCTGGCAGCAGCGTTCTGAAAGCGCCCTATGGGTGATCTTCAACACTGCCCAGCTTGCTTGCATAGCTTTGTCTTCTGCCTCGGCTTGCACATGCTCTGCAGACGGAGACATCTACAGGCTGAGGTAAGCACAAATTCGGTGGGCATCGCAGCTCCTCTAAAGAATGCGCGTACCTCGTGCCAATCGGCCCAGACTTTGCATACTCAAAGGCCTGGTGGCGTTATCTCCACGCCTGCAGGTCTCTGAAGAGCACTTCCCCTTCTCGTAGAAGCTGCACCTGCAATGTAAAAAGGTGCTGTTTCGGCACCTTCTAACAGTTAGATTCTAACAGCGGAAGCATGCTGGCCACACATTTTCGTCTTGGCGAGCTGCAGAACAACCGCGCTGTCCCTTCTTTGCTTCTCCTTCTTCCGGGGCGAATATTTGCTAGCTTTGCCGCAGCACGCTATAGAAAGAACCGGCAGAGGCCCGCGTTCCCGACCTTTGCTGAAGGAGATGAAGACAGCGGGGATGACCTTCAGTTCTCTCCTTCTCCGACTCTCGGTGACAAGACCGACCCGCCTTGCGAGGTCCGCTGTGGCCTCAGGCTCAGCCTCACAGACTTGCGCCTTTCGCTTGTGGAAAAGCCGCGTGGGGCTGATGGGGCTGATGGTGCTGGGCTGCCGGACCGGTGCTCCGAGCATTCCATCGGACATTCCATGAATATGAAACTCCAACAAAAGCCAGACTGCGGCGGGTAAGGAGGCGCCCAAATCTATTTCTATGCGGTCTTTGGCAGTACTGGAGGGGTCTGTGTCACACTGTGCGTTTCTGAGCGGATGTAAATGCCACTCAAATCCCGTCGCCGGGACAACCTATGCAGGGCTAGGGGTGTCCAAGACTTGTGGCTGCATTGCAGCTGGCTGTACATCTCAGAGAAACCCTTAGCTCTTCTACGTGTTGCTATAGTGCCTTTCCGCCTTCAGGAAAAGCATTCTGTTCCTCCAATACGGGGAGGCGAATTCAAGTATTGCGACGATCTATGGTGACACTGAGTCGCCGATCGCCAACTCGCTCCCGACCTTAGCATTGCCCAAATGCAGCAATCGTGGCTTCGGAGTACTCTGTTACTGTGAGCCACTGAGCCTCCGGCCGTGATGGGCAGGAGCCATCGAGACGCAAGATCAGCTTCTTACTGGCAAGATACGTGCGTCTCCTTGTGCATGGCCCAGGATGCCCTGTGAACCCACAGTTGGACTGGGTTGTCGCAGGGCGCTCCGTCTTAATTAATCTGTACGACGTGCAGGGCGTAAGACGACTAAGGCGGGTCGCTCACAGCGGATCCGAAAGGGCATGAAAGGAAAGTTGCGAGCCGAACTTTCTCCGCGCTGCCTGTAGAATGTGGCGTCCATTGACGGCACGACGAAGCTTTGGACCCAGAGCGGTCAGCAAATGGAGAATTCTTTGTTGCTCCGTGCCATGGCTGTCTTCAATGACCCTCTGTGCGATGTAGTTTCCGAACCGGTCCAAAGCCATTTGCGTGAAGGGAGGATTGGAAGCTTCGTCTCCGAGCAGTGCCACCATCAGTGCATCCCTCTCCTCCTGCAGTTCGCGCCGAAACTCCCCCGTCATGGCCTCCAAAACCCGCTCCAAAACCAGGCTTGAATGTCTATTCCGTGCGTATGCCAGGATGTTGCAGTCATCAACGAAAAGCCTCGCAATGTGCTGTAGATGCATCGGCCTTCCTCGTGCAAGGACTGCACGAAGAACATTATTGCCGTAGGGATCCTCAGAAGCCCAGGAGTCCAAAAAGCCACTTTCTCTCATGAAGCCCCCACCAAAAAACCCTATTCGAAGACTTCATTTCTAAAATCATCTCCTGCAACTGAGGATCCATAGCCAGCTTCTGGAGCTGCCCAGTGGTGAGAAGGTTGTTCAAGAGCTCGGTCATACCCGGACTGTCGTGCGGGCAGTGCTCAATGATCCGCTGCAAGACACGGCATGAGTAGATATGTGATGCAGCATCTACTGCGTGATTCTTCAGCTCCTCCACGATGAAGCCCACATCACCGTGACTTAACAACTCCACACATTTTTGTAGAACGAAATTACCATGCAAATGCTGACTGCAGGCCAAGACTTTGCCCCGTAACTCGAAAGCTAGCAGAGGATGGAGTTCTGCTGGTACGCACTGGAGTGCTTGCTGTACAATCCAGCAGCCATGCTTGTCCTGAGTTGTGGCGTCGCGATTCTACAGGTGCTCTCTCAGAGACAGTCATTTAGGACAGAACTCACAGACTTTTGAGCTCTTGCACCTTGGTCAGCTTCAGAAGAGAACCGCGAAGGCGTCGGACGATTTTCTTGCAGAGCTCCAGGCTCAAATCGTCATCAAGAGTGATGAGCTGCATGATCACTTGTGAGGCGTGCGGATCACACGCAAGGCTAGGCAAGTCTGGTAACAAGGACAACACCAACTCCGAGCGGAAGTTGGAGATGTACGGTGCTTGAAGACCTGCAAGCTGGGCGCAAAGTGCCTGTGCACCCTCCTTTGTGCAGATGGCACAATCCGCTTTGGGTACCTTTGGATCTGATTCCCTTCTGGCTCGCCTTGACTTTGCTTTGCCAGACAGGAGGGTGGGCAAAGACTTCTCAAGTCCCGGTGGCGGCCCGAACATGGAAGGAGATAGATGCTCGGAGAGCTTCAGTGTATGTCCAGGTGGGGAGTCGGAGTCAACTGCCTCAGGGCCAAAATTGCGAGGTCTCGTCTTCAACGTCAGCAAAACTGCCAAACAAACCTAATCCACCTGCCTGCTGGGCCTCCGGGTCTTGACCTGCATCTTGCACTGTTTCCACGGTCGGGTAGTCCTTCTCACCAGCATGACTCTTGGGATGCTGCATGCCCTGCAAAGCGCCCTGAGACACCCAGCCCGAATTCAAAGTCGGGGTTCAGTTTGAGCCCAGAAGTGCTGAAAGAGAAAGAGAAGAAGTGTCTGCCCTGTGTAATCACATCAAGCCGCACCAGAACATGCGAGTGGCATGCGTGCTGTTTGCGCGCTTTCGCACAAGATGTTCAGCAGTTCTCTGGAGGAGCCTGGTGCCCCTTGCCAACTTCTGCATCAGCAGATGCTGATGCTGACAGACGCAGTCACGCAGCGGTCAAGCAGTCTGCAGGACATGACGGAATCCAACCATCTCCGCGCCCAGGGGAGAGTCCGGGTAGTGCTCAAATCACGCACATCTCCATGTTGGCCTGGGAATCCTTTCCGAGGTCTCGACGCTCACTTGCGCTTCATCTCGAGTTCCTTCTGAAGCTACTTGGCCTTCTCCTTCTCATTCTCTGTCCTAGATGTGAGCTGCTCAATGAACTCCACATCAGTCGAGAGCAGCACTTGGCTGGGTGTGTAATACAAGCACATTGAGAGAAAACTGACGAAGTAGCCAGCGGCGCTGTGAAAGCCCATGCTAAAGTCAAGGAAAATTGCAGAGAAGAACGCAGTGAAGGCCATGGCCTTGACCGCGTAAGCGGTTAACTGTGCATTCGCACCGATGCAAACACGTTCTAAAACCAGTCTAAGGCGAGGACGGCACTGACGGCATACAGCTTGACAATGGAATCCGCATACCTGCCACGATGCGAAAAATTGAAACATAGTCTGTTTATATAGGTTCGTTATTGCGCTCGCATCTCGTGGCAGAGCAGCTTACGACGATGACTTCACGAAGGCTGGACGAGCTCGCAGAAATCATGCTGGGGGACTCTCGATGCAAGTTTCTTTCATGTCGACACACTTCAATGATATCCCTAAACGTAGCTGCTTAGCTGATGGGGCTGCAAGCTGCAAAGATTTGAAATCGCCTTTGGCTGATCATTGCAGCTGATTCCATGTTTCGTCTTGGGTGGACATCGCATGTCCGGGTGGGTGGTGTAAATTGTAATGCATGGTGCATGGGTGGAATGCCTGCTTGCAACTGCAGGTTCCACGCCAGGAATCCCATCGAGACTGCTCGGGGCAAGACGGAAAAACGCCTTGCATGGATACTCGTCAGCCTCTTCGAGGATCCGATCACAAGGTCGACATCCCAGTCCGCAACACGCTTTCAGAATGCTATGAACATTTCGGCCGGTTGTAATTGCAAGGGGCAAACTGAAAGAGACATGCACCATCCAAGAGGCCTAAACAGAAAAGCGATCGACTGACCCAGGATGGCGTTGCATAGCACAACCTCAATCACTGCACTTCGTGTGGACTCAGTGGACTCGAACGCGCAGCTCATCTTTCTAATCCTGGCATTTGCAGGAAAGCTGCACTCCACGGCAGCAGCGACGACGTAAATCCCGCCAATGGATCACGCACACCTGCACCTGACAATCAGACACAATGGAGGTTTACAGAATTACAATGACATGTCATCGACACCCTTCCGCGGCCGAGGAACCATCCACCACCAACAGCTGAAAGATGGCGGCTGCCACACCGAACCCATAAAGCCAAATATTGGCCTGCAGGAGACTTTTCGACGTGACTCCTCTCTGCTCTGCACTCGAGTGTCTCCTGTTGCCTCCAAGACATTTTGACTCTTCTTGATAAGCCACTCGTTGAGCACCCCAGCCACAGCTGAACACCTCAGAAGCTCCATTTGCGAGCACACAGGAGACAGACTAGCGCAAAAACACGTGGCACTTTCACTTTGACTGTCCGCAAGCAGAAGGAGCCTAGGACACCCTGCGCAGGAACCCGGAACGAGTGGGCTGGATTGCCGGATGCGGGTCACGACTCTCTAACTTTGCATGAAAAACTCGAGATTCCGTTGCAAGTCCCCAAATCCATCGGCCCACCGCTCAAGAGATTGAACCCAAAAGGTGCGAAACCCTAATACTCCAAGACTGCTCGTGCTGCTTGACCCCCCGAGGCTTGCCCATCTTGCTCTCTTCTGCTTCTGGTTTCTGCATCGGCCCACAGCTCATGCGATCACGAGCTCTTTCGCATTGGCTTGGAGCCGCGGTGGCAGTGTAGTTTGCGCCGGTCCGTCCGCATTCACAGTCGCACAGTCGCAGCACCCACGACCCCCCAAGCTGACGACTATTCGTTTCCAATCGTGTACAGTGCACACGTAACGGAGGAGCGTACCTATTAATAAGAGAAGGCCTTATCCCAGGATCTGGCAACGTGCAGGTCCCTTCGAGATCCAGAAAGTTGTTCAAGTTGAATTGTTCTTTGCAGAGCACGACCTTCGGGTCACGGATCTTGTTTCGCAGGGCCGTACGTCCTGTGGAAAGTTGTGCGATGGTCTTCACACTAGCCCACTGCAAGAGCTCGATGAGCATGCTGGCTGCATCTCGGTGGTACTTCTCATGGCCCATGGATGCATCTGGATCGCTGGCGAGATCCAGACGCATCGCCGGCTCGAAAGCAGTCATGTGAGCTGTGAGCGTGGGCGAAGCCCTCAAGTGGGATCGCATGGTCATTCAACAGGCCTCGTAAACTAGGATGTGTACCAGGCCTATGGCAAGTTGAGGTGGCAGGCTCCGACCCTGGCAAGTGTTGCATAGGCATGCCATGGATCCGTGTGAGGAGACGGCTGCAACAACCCAGCCCTGGGTTCTTGCAGCCATCTCCTCACAAAGATCTATGGCATGACTATGCAACACCTGTCAGGGTCGGAGCCTGCAAACTCATGTCGCATTTCTCAAGGTCCAGCCTACAAACGCATGTGACATCTGCGAGTGTCTCTGTTGCTGCATTGGAGGCTGCATTCGATGCACCAAACATGCAGCGCAAAGGGCCACGAGACGGCCAGCATGATCAAGACTCCCGTGCGAGCATCCTGTGACCACGCCGCAGCAACGCAGAGACTTCGGGGAGAACGAGAGAACGCAGAGCAACGCAGAGGGCCTGGGCCTGGGCCTGTCCCGCTTCACCACAAGGTGCCGTGGCCAAGGCCATGCCTGAGCGCAGCGATGGCTTGGGCTCTTCTTCCCCTCTTTTCCCCTTCGGGCACGCACCGAGAACCAGCAGGAGCAGTGCCAGCCTGACGTGTCGCCCAGCCCCCCCCCCAAACAAGATCTCTCAGCCATAAGCATGCCAGAGGCGCCACTGCAGCACACGGAGCTGTCGCCGCATCACCTTCGGAAAACAGGCATTCGCGTACAGGCAAGAAGAAAAGCAGACGAAGACGTGACTTCCTTACTGAGTGGCAGCAGAGCGACAACACGGAATACAAGCGAGGTGGTGAAGAGTTTGATGTTATTCAGCAGCTGGTATTCCGGAGGAGAGATCTTCTGCAAGGCCTCAAACCTGAAAGCCACGGGCCATCCCTGCGGATGAATTCTGACGCGGCTCAAGCGATGGAGCCAAGTTCCCCACACGAGCCGGTTCTGCAAGGTGTAGAGTACCGCAGGAATGGCATACAGCCACCGCCCTGACAAAGACATGGAGGCGCGTACCTGGACAGAAAGAGCTGCAGAAGCGATGCTGCCAGAACGCATAGCAGGCATAGCATGCTGGGTGTGTGCCTCTGGTGGAAGCATGGCTGCAGCAAAGACCAGCTTCACCAACTCAGCCAAAAGGACTGCAACATCTGCGCTGTACCTCCAATACACTGTCAGCTGAAAGGCGACCGACAACAAAGGGCATGCACTGCGAGGGGCACGTCACTCGTTTCTTTGAGGCGGTGATGAGCAAGCTGACCAGGAAAAGCTGCTCACAGAAGTCTCACACAGGCAACGATGACTTGTAGCCTCGCCTTTGGACGGAGTACGACCCCATCAGCATAACTACCTGGCAATTGCAGATGTATGTAGACACATGGGCTGCGAAGATATGGTTAGTGGCGCCAGAAGAAAGCGGTTGCGAGCCCATCGATCCACGAAGTCTCGCATGGCGACGCCCCATACGGCTGCTGCAGAACAGCTTGTCTTAATACTGCTACTGCAAGACTCAACCTCGACGGATCTGGGCTTCCGAAATCCACGGTGGGGGCTCAGGACGTGGTGTCACCAATCAGCTTCAAACCCAAACGATAGCTTTAGAGTAAGAGTGGGCAAGTACAGGCGTTCATGCTTGCGCAAGACCTCATGAGCAGCACGGATGCCCGCAATCCCTTCAAATTCCCTGCTGTTCTCTTGTTGTGCATGTACGCATCGTGTCTCTGTCACGGGAGGTGACACCGGTGACACCTCGGATGTCCTTGAGGCGGCCCGTGGGGCTTCTGAGAGTTGCAGCTCGTCCGTACCGATCCGAGATCACGTCCTCTTGCTTCTGCGTGGCAAGGCGCGGCAGGCGTTTGGGCAGGCAATGGCAAGGCCAAGGCAGAACCTCCTCGGCTAGGAAAGAGAAGTCAGAGAAACGTATTCCTTCGCCAAAAGCTTGTCATTCTGCATGGCCCAGGACCAAAGCGCACGATGCCGGTCAAAGAACGCCTCACCGGCCGGCGGATGCTCTTTGAAGTCCTCCAAGGTATTTCCCTCAAGATAGGCGATCGAGCGCAGCAAAACGAGTTGTTTATGGTCGGCATGTGTGGCCATGGCTGTGGCAACCCCGGGGGCGCCTTCACGCTCGCCTCTCTCTTTGAGGATCGCAGTGAGCGCCGTCTCCATGATCTCAGGGGCACTGGGAAACATCTTGGAGATGCGCTGTTGCAGCGGGTGCTTCCAATTTCGCGGCCATTCGACACAGCTTAGGACTATGTAGAAGTACTCCCCAAGCTCCCGATAGTTCTCTTGCAGAAGCACATCCTGATCCTCAATGCAACTCACCGTGTTGTACATCAGAGCACTTAGGACCAAGAGGACTTCATTGTGCCTGAACTGATAGTCTATGTCCAAGTTGAAGTGGGCCCACAAGGTCGAAAGCAAGCCAATTGCTTTCGGCAGAGCTCCGCCACCAAGCTTTTTCAAC